ACGTTTGATTGTCAACCCGGTGGTGCCTCGTGATCCATTCCTTTGCTCTTCGATCGCTGATTCATCAGGTAGCAAGCCATCGCCTCTAATTTCATATCTATTGCTTGCTTCTTAGGGTTTCATATCTCTAGATGCTATTGTAATTATTCATATATCTGATCTATTCTATCGTGCAACGAGTCGATGTTTTTGAGGTTACTTTGGCAGTTGACAATTAACTCGGGGCCAAGCCCATGAGTACTAATCGAGGCCAAGCCTCGCTAGTGTTAGTTGGCAGTTGGTTCTTGTCCATGATAGTAGTCCGTTTTAGCTCCAGCAATGGCACGTGTTAAGAATGTCGGAGGTGGTCCCGGTGATTAGGATCTGAGGCCTCCGCCTCGCCTGTTTGCTGAGCCAAAAGGCAAGGCCAAGAAGACTACAACAAAGAAGCGGAAGCTCGTTGATGTAGAGGCTAAGAGAGCAGCAGTAGTGGCAGCAACAACTAAGTGTGTAGAGAGAGGTGGAGCTCGGAGTGGTGTCCGTATTGCAGATCAGCTTTCTCTAGCACAAAAGGCCGTCGTCGAGAGGGTTGAGAGCCTTCATGGTAGTCTAGCTAGGACTGTCATGCTTGGAGGATGGCGTGTTGCTATAGATGAGAGTCAGCCTCAGGGGGAGACATAGTAGCAGGCATAGCCACCAGTGCAGTCAAAGGATACCCAGTAGGCTGAGTAGACTCAGGAGGCAAAGTAGACCGAGGAGACAGAGCATGCACCTCAGCCATAGTTACGACGCTCTGGTCGTACTCATGCTCAAGTGACACCGAGGCCTGAGACAGAGTAGGGGTTCTTGTCCGCCTCCTAGACCACAGGGTCCGCCTCTAGTGACTCACCTTGACCTGAGGGCAGCCATAGCCAAGCAGGTGCAGCAGCTCAGGTTTGTGTAGTTTGAGGACTGGTTTCTGCCAAGGTGGGATGAGCGTGCTTTAGAGGGATTCTATACACCACTGCAGAAGGATTTTTATCAGGTATATGTCAACAATGGGGTTGCATTCAGATCTCAATGAGTTTGCTCTATTGAGGCACTTGTAGCAGTCAGGAGAGCAGATCCGCCCTCACCTCTCTTATTTGCCTAGGTTGACAGACCTACTTGGATGGACTGGACGATATGTTCCATCATGGGTCCGTGAGTTCTACTCTTCACTTTGGATTGACCCGGGCATTGGTTCATACACTTCGCATTCAGAGGCCGTGACTACAAGCTGTAGAGCTTGAGGGTCAGAGAGATTCTCAGGATTCCAGAGTCACCCATCCACCTTCATGAGGTTTGCTACGGTTAAACAGAGCCTCCCAGATGCCCTCACGGTGGTCTTGTGCCTCCCACAGATCTTGTCCGACCATGCTTCAGAGAGCCTTTTGGTGAGGGGTCGAGTAGGACACCTAGATACCTTACTCTTATAGCTAGGCTGCTTGATGCTATCATGAGGAGACCATTGCTCCCAAGGATGGGTTATCGTGAGGGATTGACTCGCATCCAGCTGTGGCTAGTGAACTCTCTGATACAGCAGACAATTTTTGATATTTGGGATGTCATTCTCTCAGAGATGGAGGACACTCTTGCAGAGGGGTTCAGAGGCCACATACAGCTGTCTTATGCTCACTGGATCACATTCTTGATTCGCAAGGCAATTACAGTGAAGTCCCCTGAGACGATGGCTGAGTACACAGGTGCTACTACAGAGTTTCCTCCATACAACATGACCTAGATGCTCCATCACAATAGAGCGAGGACACCTAGCCAGCTGAGCCATCACCCAGAGGTGCCAGAGACTACAACCCTGCAGGATGAGATCATCAGGGGCGTTGCAGCTACAGAGGAGGAGCAGCTAGATGCTCAGTAGGAGGGTATGGTCGAGAGCGACCCTAGTGATAGTTCTGATGATGATTATCAGGCTATTCCTCAAATGCCTCCTCGACGACATGACAGTGAGGCCAGTGGCTCCAGCTCAGCTCCACCACAGCCACCGCAGACAGACCTCACTCTTCTAGCTATTCTTGAGAGGATGAGGCAGGATCAGGCACGCTAGGCCCAGGAGACCGTAGCTGCACTTGCACAGGTTTAGGCCAGACAAGATGAGTTCCAGAGACAGCAGCAGGCCATGCAGCAGCAGCAGCTCCTGATGCAGCAGCAGTTACTTGGATTATGCAGCATGTTGTCACTGCTATTGGGGTTCCTCCGCCACCGTCTACACCTCAGCTCAGCCATCCTACCACCACTATAGTGACTCTAGCTATACAACCCAGTGGGCTTCAGAGTCAGGGACAGTCAGCTACACAATTTGCTTCACGGACAGATCAGGTGTCCCAGTGGTTTTGCTTCACCAGCGACAGCCCAGGGTCCTTCCTTCACACCTATTGTTATGGGCTTCACACCGGCTCAAAGTTTCTCAATGCTTATGACTGACACCCCAGTTTCTAGGAGCCTCGGTGCCACTTTCAGCGAGCTTACAGGGCAGCCTCCACCGCTAGAGTTGCGAGTCCCTACATCTTCCACAGTCGCTCTAGTTACTAGGACTATAGAGACGCTCCTATCATTCGTTGCATCATCAGAGCCAGCTACTACAGTGATACCTGCAAAGTCATAGGCCGCACCAGTCCCAGAGCAGAACCAGACCGCTTTAGCTTCACTTCCAGCGACAGAGGGTCAGACAACTCAGAGCTCTGGATCAGAGGATGATGCTACATAGTTTCAGATCGCTCACCGCACCTCAGCGCCTGACTCGTCTGCTCCTGCCCCGCCGACCGACCCTTAGGTTTTGGTGCTTGACGCCAAAGGGGGAGAGGGATCGAGTATGTTAGATCTAGGGGGAGCGCTATATCTAGGGGGAGCTTATGTTTTATTACTTTTGGCTTTTTATGTGTGATACATTACTATGCATTCATGTTTACTTTCATGCATTGAATTACAAACGTGTAATTGTGATACCTATGTGATATGTGACATGTGTGCTCTCTACTTTGATCTTTATATATGTCATATCACTTCATTATGCTCATTTGGTTTGCTTCCGCATTTTACTCCGATTCAAATGAGCTTTATTTCTTGTACTCATGCTTATTTCATATCTATTGAGTACACCACGTTGGCTTGGGTCATATAAGCATGTCTAACCCCTTTGCTCTTATTAGCAAAAGCTTATATGAACCAAGCATGTTGAAAACCTCATCTCTTACGCATACTTGAGGTTGTATTGTCATCAATTACCAAAAAGGGGGAGATTGAAAGCATCTAGGCCCCTAGTTGGGTTTCGGTGATTAATGACAATACAAGATTACTATGACTAACGTATGTTTTGCGGAGGCAATTAAGTTAGGTCATGATAATGGCAATTGATTGGGCAATCATGGTTGTCATGCCCCTATGATGGAAATCATTTTGGTTTTCAAAGGATGGACGACAAGGTTAAGGATGGACTAGTTCTAAATGTCGTTTGGTGTTGAAGAGGCATTTAGAGTAGTTTAGGACTTTGTTTTTCCTTTGGTTGTACTATTAAGGGGGTATGGACTAGTAGCTTGACCTAGGTGAGTCTAGTGGGTTAGGTGTGGTGCACACTTATCAAATCTAGCACTTGGTAGCTCCGGAGTAGCCCTAAGATCAATTGAAGCAAACTTCTTTCACGTATGATTTTGAGTTGGAAGTGAATGGAGGGTCAAATGACTGACCGGACGCTGGTCTAGTTGTGACCGGACGTTGAAGGATGAGTTCGGTCAGTTCATTTGATCAACTGGAGCCGTCTAGTTGTGACCGAATGCTGAGTGAAAAGTGACCGGACGCTGGGTGCTAGAGTCCGGTCAACTCCAGAGAGGTTCTAGAAAGGGAGTTTCCTAATCGGACGCGTCCTGTTAGTGTTGACCGGACGCTGGTCAGGATCCGATTACTAACTGGACGCTAAACAGCAAAGTGACCGGAACTCTAGGTGCCAGCGTCTGGTCAACATCAGTAAGGTTCCAGAGAGCAGTTTTCATGACCGAACGCATCCGGTCAGTGCTGATCGGACGCAGGTCAAAGTCCGGTCATAACTTAACGGCTTTGTGGCGGGGATAACTGACCGGAGCGTCCGGTCACCTTGACCGGAGCGTTCGGTCACCCCGCAGAGTGCTGACTCAACCTCCTAACGGTTCGTTTTGAATGAGGGGGTATAAATACTTCATCTATTCATCCAAGGGAGGCCTCTTGCCCATTTGTTCAGCTAAAAAACACTCTTGAGAGTGCTAAGGAGAGCAAGAGCCTAGTGAGGTGATTGAGATTTAAGAATCCAAGATTAAGTCCTCATTAGTGCAAGGAGAGTAGCAAGTGTGCATCCACCCTTCTCATTAGGCTTGTTGTGGTCAAGTGAGAGTTCGTGCTTGTTACTCTTGGTGATCGCCATCACCTAAACGGCTTGGTGGTGATCGAGAGTTTGGTGATCATCCGGTGGAGCTTGTGGATGACCCAACTCAAGTTATGAGCGGTTGTGGGCGATTCACGGCGACGGAGTGTCAATGAATCAGCCCGTAGAGAGCACTTGATCCTTGCGCGGATCAAGGGGGAGCTACACCCTTGCGTGGGTGCTCCAACGAGGACTAGTGGGGAGTGGTGACTTTCCGATACCTCGGCAAAACATCACCGCATTACTTCTCCTCTCTTTACTTTAAGCATTTACATTTGAGCAATTCATTTCTTATCTTTACATTCTTAGAATTACCATGCTAGAGTAGGATTGGAACTTAGGGTGCTAAACTTTTGTGCGGTAGATCAATAGCATCACATTCTTGGCACAAGGGGTGAAGTGGGCTAAGTGTAGGGTTTAATTATTGCAAAAAATTTAGAATTAGCCCAATTCACCCCCCTCTTGGGTATCTTGATCCTTTCAGTGATATCAAGCGAGGTAATGCCCAGAGCAGCTAAGTCAATGTGTATGATGGAGCCAGGAATAGTCAAGTTGCCCAGGAGCCTTGCACCTTGGGTGTTAATTTGATTGCTCATCATCTGCCTAAAACCTTCAAGCAGCAAATTGGTGATGTCCTCTCTCTGAACCCTGGTAGACACAATAGTTGGGAAAGCACACACCATTTGTAAGTTGTTGCCCTGAGAACTAATTTGTGGTGGCTAATTTCAGGAATGACGTTCTGTTCCTCAATAGGCTGATCTCCAACAATGATTTCACTGCTTTGTCCTTCCCCCATATGGAAGTGTTGAGAGTCAGCAGTCACCGATGGCAGACCTGCAAATTCACCTTCGGGAACAGGATTGAAAGGACGTGAAGGATGCAGTTGAGAGATGCAACACGTGAGGGAGCCTTGGACTGTATTGAGTACTAAAGGGTCATTAGGAGCATTGGGGTTAAGCGCCCACTCAATCTCCTTGTTTGCAGCGAGGGATTTTTTCTTTGGAGCCCATTTATGCCGAAGGTCCAGACGCCGTTTGACACAATACTTGGCTCGATGGCCATAATTATAGCAATAGAGGCATCTAAAGGCACTCATACAGTCTTTGATGAAGTGATCAGCACCCAAACATCTGAAGCAGACGCGATGAAGACAATTGAGAGTGGAGCTGAGAAGGTCACCTCGATTAGGAGGTAGCTCAATTAATTCCTGGGATGGCTTCTTGCTGGCTTGGGGATAAGACCCATCATTAATCATTTCAGCCGGCTGAAGGTTGGCATCCTGCTCAATGTTGCCGGCCTGACAAATGCTAGAGGCTTGATTAGGAACACTTTGAACAATATGAACATCAAGCTCACCATTGACATTGTGAACACCAAGAACACCTGAAGACGCCTGAGAGATTTTGAGGGATGGCTTGTGCTCAGGATCCCTTCCAAGACCAGAGGCAGCTGTGGAGAAAACCGAATCACTGCTAGAAGTAGTCATAGGACAGAAGAACTTGCCAATCTTGTTGACCAGGCCAATCTCAGTAGGACGATATTTACGAGCTGGGGAATCTTGAACCAGCTTACTGCAGAAAGAAACATTCTTAGAAGTTGCACTTATTTTTTGGACTAAGCACCGTTGTCCAACTAGCTTTCTCTTCTTTGTCCCAACACTTCTTCTCAAGTTCCCAATTATCACCTCCGTCTCGCCACAAGTGGAAATAGGCATCAAAATGAGCGGTCGTGATTCTTCTGAGAGATCGAATTAGCAAACCAACATGCTTGGAGGCGACGGAGAAACGGAAGTGGCGATCACTTTGGTAAGTGACATGAAAACCAGCGGGAGCGCCTCCCAGACAGCAATGCAAAGCCAAAGCAACTGAATCTTTAGTGAGACGAAAAAGAAACCTTGTGAAGACCACGAGCAGGAAGAAAGAGCCATCTGGCGAGGAAGAAAGATGATGCACGAGGAGGAAAACTTGTGCATGACCTCAGCTTCGAAGCTCTTACCCAGGGAGAAGTCCCACTCTCTGACCAGCTATGTAAGAGCAGGGTCCTGCTCGAGTTCGATGAGAGCGCCCGGAGGTTGCCGAGCCATCAGATGTGACCTAGCCGGAGAGGTGCCTCCCGGCCCTCCCCAGAGATGCGCCGGATGCAGCCGGGGATCAACAGCTATGGGGAGAGGCGAGGCGAGGTTGTTGGCGCACTGCGGGGGGAAGGGGCGGCTGCTAGAGTGGAACGGGAGGGCGAGAGCGCCCGCTGTGCGCAGGAGTAGAGCGAGCAAGACAGCGCGCTGGCCGGCGGCGCAGGCGAGTGCAAGCGAGGCTGCGCGTGGGCCGGCGGGTCGGACAAGCACTAGCGAGGCTGCGCGTGGGCCGGCCGGGCGGCGGGCGGCGGCCGACACGAAGTGCGGCTCCATCCCTGTCGGCCAAGCATATTATGTGAATGATACTCTGTGCATGTCTATTTATTTCTGGTATTCACACTCAGATATCAGCATTAGCAGTATGAAGTTGCAGTTTTAAATTTCACGTGACTACTATAAAAATTAAATTCATGCCATCTTTTGACCCAAAAAAACATGTTGATGTAATGTTGGGAAGAAGGAAGAGATCACCTTTATGTTTGACGGCACACGTGAATTAGTTGAGTAATTCTTATTTTCTCCTGCATTAAGAATGTAAAAATATTCAAACTGAACAGAAAATGGAAATGTAGTAGTTCATTGTTATTTTTCTTGGGATTTTCTTCTTTTCTTTGTTTAGATTTTTTTGTCAAACTTTTAACATCTAGAAAATTGAAAATTACAAGTCTATCTTGAGTAAAATGGTGCATAAATGCTGAACTTTTTTCCCAAAAGAAGTGTAACATAAGTATCATGATTCATGACATAGGAAAAGGACCAGTTATTTTTTAGTCATAACTAAACACATGTATCTAACAAGAAGGAAAAGCCATTTTTGACACATAGGATGGCAAACCAAAAGAGAAATGGAAGGAAAACAAGCTAGTTATGGTTACTTGGCTATACCCTATCTACTTCTAGTTGTTCTTGGGAGGGTGTTTCCGGGGTGAACGGTAATCAGCAGTGAAGGGAATTTGGCCATCAAAGTAAACCTTTGGTGGAGGTTTTCTACTTCTAAAGCTACAATTCATACTCAAATCCTTCCCTCCTCCATGACTGCATTTTCCAACAGAATATTTTGCACCTGAGCTTGTTCTGCTTCCAGAATTCTTTGTTTCCTTCTGCTCCATGACTGCATCTCCAAAAGCCAGCCTTCGACCTGTCAATACATTGCTTCTGACTTCCTCATCTGTCCCGATCTTGTCAACGCTGAGTTCCTGCATTCGAAACATCATTAGTTTCTGTAGCCAGGGATGAGTCCTGGGTACATAATTTATTACTTGACATTGCTTCAGATTCTTACCAGCTTGATTTCTGCTCCTCCCTTGCTGCCAGTAACTGACAGTAATTCTGAAAACAGACGGAAGGTGTGTCAGTTCATCAAACATGCATGCTTAAACTGAGAAAGGAATGAGCTGGGAAGTCTTAGAGATACTAGAAGAATAAGGTTAAAAGTAGGCAGTTGCAAATGCAGGAGAGATGATTATGTCTAACCTCTATGTGCAATGGCGACGAAGGGGCCAAGGGTGGCCGAGAGGATGGCCAGCCCAAGCAAGAAGCTTATACAGTTTAACGGCTGCATAACTAACTGTTTAGCCCTGCTTTTAGGTATGTCTGTCATTTAACTAACAGAAATGGAAGGAGAAAGCAGAACAAAGGAAGGGTAGTTTTATAGGCCTTCAGAGACATGGGCACTCCATTGGTCAAAGTAGAGTTGCAATATCTCCTATATTCATTGAATGCTGCACCTGTACTTTTAATCCATATACAATTAGCTAGGTCCTCGGCAGTTTCTTATTGGCTTAAGTATATTCATGTGCCTGGGAGATCTCAAAGTTTGTCCATTGCCATTTGCCAAGCAGTAGTAGTTTCCAAGGATCTCATGCACAGTAAAAGTGCATCAAGGATCGGCAAATTACTTGAGATGTAAGATTTTGAGTGCATTGGGCCTTATGCCGCAGTGCTGCCAATGCATCACAGTGAGGAAGAAGAAGCAAACTTTAGTGGCCAACTAGAAAGGCTTTCAGTAAACAAGGCCAGAACCTAGAGTTTCACCTCCCGTTGATCTTAAGCAATGCTCTCGGTGCCCCCACATGTATCGTAAACCGTATTGAATTGTGAGACTTCTAGGTGATAGTAACTTTACAGCTGGTTAATTGGTGGGTGTGTGAAACAGACGCCCTCAGCACGCAATGGCAAACCTTGTGTTTGGCCACCGTTGTCGGTAGCACTGAATCGGGGAACTTGGGAGAGTGAAGGGCATGGAGAATCTTTTCAGCTGGTTGAATTTGGTCTGTTTCTTTTCGCGGGGTTACAATCACTTGATTCGAGCATACACTAACCGTGGTTTTCCTCTTTTCAGGTGTTGGGCATAGCAAGTGGCCTGGAAAAGCATGACCAGGATGCCAGCTTGGGTTTTGGTTCTGCTGCTTGATTGTACGGCTTGGGAAACAGGTCCTAGGCTTCTCTGCACCTTGTGTCAAGATTCATACATTCATACTGTACCTGGAGAGACAGTCAACACGGTCTTCTGGGACTCGAATCGTACCAGCTGCGTGCCAATGTCTCGGCATTGCGGTTTGCCTATTCCGTGCATCTGAAGTGAAATGATTCAGATCACCGCGCTGCGTAGTTCATTAGTTCATTTTTGTCCACTGACCGAGGTCGTCAGTAATCTGTTCTTCGGATGTTGGGGGATTTGCTAGATAGACCCTACCGCCAGAAGCCCTGAACAATCCTAACTTTGGGCCTTCCAGTGAGATGCGTAATGACCCTTGGTAGATTCGAAGCTTCCAGTAACAGAAGTTCCTGAATCATTACTGAGGACGACAGCGATTTGGAGAGCGCAGCTTATGTTGGATTCGTGCGCTAGATCCTGGAGGCGATACTTGTGTAGGAGAGCAAGTTGGCAGAAATACTGAAGGGACCACCGAACCATGATGGGTCCGCAACCGTGTACGCCGGCTGTTGCTAAATTGGAGAAGTGAACACATTGTTGCCAGCTTAAGTTGTTGGAAAAGGCGGATAATTCACCTAGTACTTCATACGTCTGAATTTATATTAAGTCAAACTATGCTAAGTTTGACTAAAATATGTAGAGAGATGTATTGACACCTTCATCAAAGAAGTAAATTATGAAAATATGTTTCATCATATATTCAACAATGCTAATTGGATGTCGTAAATATTATCGTTCTTTTTTTATAAATTTGGTTAAACTTAGCACAAATTTACTTAGAATAAACTCAAATTTCTTATATTATAGAATGGAGAGTTTATTTTAACACCCCTCTCACGTGGAGGTGATTTTACGCCTTACACGTACAATAGGAGCAAGCAACTTTTTTTTATTGCACCAGCCACCTTTTGCTCTTAAAAGTTGTATGCACAAACACTAATTGATTGCACCTAAAGGCTTTAGGTGATGGAAAGACATTATACTTCTCATATAGCGCTTCAGGTGATGAGAAAGTCAGTCCTCCCATTTTCTGGGTGAGGCGATAAAAGTAACAGTCGAAGTGATTGGAAAAAAAAAAATATTCTATAGAAACTATCCATCGGGGACATAGTTTCTATATGCAGTGTCTAAATAAATTAATAGGCATAGAAACCACGTGTGGTTTCTAGTATTGGGACTGCCCTTATAAATAGACTTTGTTCTAATACGATGTGTCCTTTTTTTCTCAACGGGTCTCAATACATTTTGAACCGGATTTTGGACTATCACTGGATATGAGTCTGAGTCATGAGTCCAGATCACAAATGTCAACGGGTCTAAATACGTTTTGAACCAGATTTTGGACTATCACGGGATGCGAGTCTGAGTCATGAGTCCAGATCACAAACGTGACATGAAAATTAAAGCTGTACATATGTATTTTGAAAATAAAAAAAGGTTTGGAAGAAACTCTTTGTCTTTTAACAACAACAACAACAACAACAACAATAATAATAATAATAATAATAATAATAATAATAATAATAATAATAATAATAATAATAATAATATATGTTATTTCTAGATAGTAGAAGTAGATAGATAGATAGATACAGGTAGAGGTAGATATTTTGACGCTTATATATAAGGAAAAAAGAATAAACCATTGGAGGACAGGAGGCCGGAATGCCGAGATATTGGATCGGACCGAGCGAACAAAAGAAAAGGGAAAACAGGATCGCCCGGGAAAAAAAAAAGAAACGGGATCTACCAAGATACCTACAGGAAAATACTGGAGAGAAGAAAATATATATTGAAAACAAACTTGGGGGCTTATGGAGAAAAAACAAAAAGAAAAAGGAAAAGCATCGTCCAGCTACGTATATAGGAAAAAAAATAAGAAAGCTAAGGAAATCGAGCCGGACACGAAACATTAAACGGGGGAGAAAAAATCGCTCATGAGATGGAAACACAATAGTAGGATGTGGAAAAAAATATAGCATTGATGGATAAAAAATATGGTCTTGGCCAATACATCTTGAAATCAGACTGCGAGTTTCGCGAACCGTTAAAACTCGTATGTGCACGAGTTATATAAGTTTGAATAGAACTCCATTATCTGAGTAGTTAGGGAAAGACGGACAAAAAAATAGTAGAGAGAAAATTTGCCTCTTTAATACTAGGTATATAGAGGTATAGATGTAAAAGCTGAGCTCTAAGTTAAAATTTTGTAGAGTGATAGTGGATACGATAACTTATGTTAAAAATTACATTATAAATCATTATCATTAATTTTTATACAATCTTATATCTCTAGGGTTATTTTATCATAAGATGTTCAAAAATTCATAAAACTTTGACATTAGTTATGATATCAATAAAAAATTTAACTTAGAACTCAACTTGTAAATGAAAAAAAAAATATTAAGAGTAGAATGAACTAACTAAAATATTTGGTGGGAGAAAACCGATCAAAAAATCAGTTAAAAGGCACAGGGCCTTACTTGGGGACTAATTTGATCTTTTTCCCATATAAGAAAAATTCTTACATGGAAGGAACGGTGAAAATCGGCAGGAGCAAACGTTCTAAGCTGTGAGCTCTCGGGCACAACACCGGTGCCATCGCGCTGCGCTGCTGCCTGCGTGAACAGCGATTCGACGCGCGGGGTGGTCGACACGACACGCTCGCTGCCGCTTTCGGCGACGCCGTGGACCGCGCGCGGTGCACCTCCCGCGGCGGGGCCAGCTACGAGGTCCGATCTGGGTCCACCCGACACAGCCGGCAATGGAGGGAAACCGAGGGAGAGACAGAGAGCGGCGGTCATCGGTAGGGCCGCCGGGCGAACGTGCGCCGGGGCCTCGGGCGCCGCCGGACGCATCATTAGCGCATTAATTTGACTGGGGAGGCGGCGTCGAAGGACTAGAGAGCGAGGGAGGGGAGGGGACTGGGGATGCGGAGCACGAGGGCGTGCGCTGAGTCGCTCCGATCGTGGTGGCCGAAATTTTTATTTTTTAGCTTTTTTAAAAAAAAATTATAAATATGCTTATGGAGGTATGATTTTAAAATCTGAACCCTTAGCTCGGTGTCAGCGTTGTTGGTGTCGTTACACTTCTCGGCGCCATTGTTGCTGGCGCCGAGGCCTTAGGCTCGACGCAGACGTGGCGATGACTTGGCAGGCAGCTCGGCGCCACAACAGGAAACGGCTGATTTGCCGGGAGAAAAAAAATTTGTCGGGTGCTTTTTATCGGGCACCCGGCAAAGGAATTCTTTACCGGGTGCCAGGCCTGGCGGCACCCGGCAAAGAAAGGCCTCCGGCAAAGCAGCCTTTGCCGGGTGCCGAGCACTCGGCAAATTCCAGCCGTCGGCAAAAATTGGTCTTTCTTGGGGTGCCGCCACTCGGCAAAAAATATGGCCGTCGGCAAGGTGGGCCGGCTTGGCTTGACGGCCACCGCCATCGACCTTTTTTCGGGTGCCACGCCGTTAGGCACCCGGTAAAGAATTTTTTTATTTTTTTATTTAAATTTCTTTGTCGGGTGCCCCATGACCTGACACCCGGCAAAGGCTTCTTTGCCGGGTGCCCGGGGTGGCACCCGGCAAATTATTAGTATTTTTTTTTGTTTTTGCCCCTTTTTTTTTGGGGACTTGCTGCAGTAAATATATCCCTATTTTAAAATTTGGGACAATTATGAGTTTTTTAACTATATTTCCTTAATTTTTTTCGTTTCATTGAATTTTTCAACTATTCCAAATTTGAGCTATGATTACATGAAATAATGGAATTTGGTCATTAAAAAATAGTATTCATAATATTTAGGCTATATATAGGGCCGTATGTTACGAAGTGGCATGAAATACGCGCATCATATTGTCGTAACATGACACGATGTACTTACATGAGATTAAATATCATGAATACTATTTTTGAATGACCAAATTCTATTATTTCATGTACCTGTAGTTCAAATTTGAATATTTAAAAATTCAATGAAACGAAAAAATTAAGGAAATATAGTTAAAAAAGCATAATTGTCCCAAATTTTGAAATAGGGATATATTTAGTGTAGCAAGTCCCCACAAAAAAAAGGGGGTAAAAAAAAAAAAAAAATTTGTCGGGTGCCACCCGGGCACCCCGAAAAGAAGTTTT